GAAATCAACCAAAAAAATCAAGAGTTTCAAGGATTTCACAAGAAGAGGCGAATTCTTGATCCAAAATCTTCATCTTTTTCTCTTTTTTCCTTAATACCTATTGATTTACTTTAATTTCTTCTTGTATTTTTTGTTCACATGATATTAGTTAAGTAACCTATTTTTGAATCTTAATTTTATGTTAAAAATTTTAAATTTCCAACTGATATTGTGAATTGTTTTAATTTTCATTCTTAATGCTTAGATTAATTAGTTACTAATTCATTGATTTTGTTAGCAATAATCACATAGAGATGCAGATTATTTATTTAGATCACATAGTAAAAATCGGGACTAGTGTAAAACAGTAAAGATACATTTTTCTAGTTAATGCAGTCATTATATTGATTCTTAGATATTTAATGTGTTTAAGTAAGGTGAATCCGGATTCATATAGAGATATGAAATTAACTTAGTCAAATATAATCAATTTCAACTCGAGAGTGGTATATTGAATACGTTAGAAGAATACAACCGGATAAACATGATCAATTGTTATAAAATTTGGTTATTGAGATTAGGGAGATAACTATGGCAAATTCATAAATATTAACACTTAAATCATCGTATAAAAAGTCACTTTTATTGTTTTAGTACATTTAAATAAAAAAATCACAAAAATAAAAGAAACACCATATATTTGTTTTCAATCAAATTGAAGTAATTGAAGTAATTTTTAAATTATAATTCCCGTAGGAACGATAATTCGAACTTGTAGGTCCACTATTAAAAGTCAAAAGTAGCTTCTGAACTAAGAAGCTGAATTTAAATATATTTGAGTAATTTTTCTGAAAGTGTTTTATTTGATTAGCAAAGCCTTGAAAGGAAATTGATATAATGTGATTTTCTCATGAAACTCTGTTACAAAAAATAGAAATCCTACAAAACTATTGCAAACACTCTTATATTTGAATTCGGTGGCCACGTCCAAATATTACAATTTGCCATTTTTAAGCATGAAGCTAATAGATCATATGTTCAATTTAACGAATCATGTTGATATTTCACTTCACTCCTTTATCACCAACCATAGTTTCAATCTTCCCCCACGAGAGAAAATTTTGAGTAGTGAAATATCAATTTCACATAAATTCTATTAAAGGTAAAAAGTGGGCACTAAAGGACATTGGGAGAGAGCTGAGGTTGGAAAGTGGGACCATTTGCTACCTATTTTCAAATTTCAGAACTCATTCTACAATTTAATAAAATGTTAAAAGTCCTGAGTTGCAAGTCATGTTCAAAAGGGATAAAATCAATGCAATCGATCATCATTCGGTAGATGTTTGCGGTTTCGATTTATGCTATATGGAGTAAGCGCAATGCCAGGACCCATGGTGAGGCTCCTAAACACGATCCTGCTGTTATTCTAGATATTGTTTTTTCTATTTGTGCACGAGTGAATTTATGTAAGGCTTGGTCTCATCTAACGAGAATAGATGGCTCCAATGTTCATGGGGTTTTTCTATGGATATTTTTTATTGTTGTTGTTAGGATATGAGCACTAATCTAGGGTTCTGTTATTGGTGTTAGAAGATATATACTCCTAGCCTAGTTTCTTGTTGTATGCCCATGTGATTTATACTTTATTTTTACACTTTGAATATAATACACTTATCTTATCCAAAAAAAGAAAAAAAATAAAGATTCACTAAACTTTAGTTCGTCTTAATTGTAATAATGAATTTTAATTTAGTTTAATTGAGTCGTTGAATTTCAATTTTAATTTCAGATTTCACCCATCTGTCATATGTCGTTTTTCGTTGACACCACATCAAAAAGCGTTAAAAACGTGTCTTTTAACATTTTAAAAATAAAGATATTGACATGTCCCTCGTTTCATTGTTTTCAATTTTAAGTTGCCAACTGGAAGATCAGTTACAATATGATTATAAGCTAAGCAAAATCCATAAATTTGGAAGAGGATATGTGATGAAATGTGATACAATAGTCAAATTTGAAACTAAATTGAAAGAAAGCAATCCAAATGATATGAAATGAAGTTTTAAGCCTCAATTGGAATTTTGATAAAAATAAAAAAAATAAAAAAATTGAGCAACCAATGATAAAATTAAGGTCATTCAAAAAATAAGAAAATAGGGATGGCAAATAAGTTGATCCGCTTGTCGGCTCACAGGCTCGATCCATGGACCTCTAAGGCTCATACAAGGATGAGTTAAGCCTCAAGCCAATCACCAAAATAATTTACAAGCCGAGAGATCTATCTAACTAGCTTAGCAAGATCCTGGTGGCAAAATGTGGCCATTTGGGTGGTCAACGGTCATAGTTTGTTTACTTTTTTTTTTTTTTTTACATTTTTTTTAAGGGATTTTTGTTCCTATAAACACCCTCTCTTTATTCATTTTTTTTTCCACGCCACAATTCTTTCTACATTTTCAATCTAGAATTCTAGCATTCTACAACACAATTCTTGCAATCTTCATGTAATTAGCTTTTTTATATGTAATTTTAAGTTTATTATTATTCATATTTTTTCTTATTTTATTTCCCTCCAATTCTCATACAAAAGTATATTATTTCATTCCTACCTCTTTCTTCCATATAGTATTCCAATTCCAAAGGGATTGCAGAAAATTGTTGGACGCTAATGAATTTGATGACATGTTTGGTACTTCCAACACACTAGAAAGTACTTAGCTTCTCGCTCATCCTCTAGATTACGATTTTAATGTCTTAATGATATTTTAGTACTTCCTAATGATTTGGGCAATGATCTTGGGCTGGGAGCACAAAATTAATTGATTTGGATGATATTGAAGAAGATGAAATGCAGACAATAATTTTATGCAGTAAACAATGAAAGAATAAACAAACTGCTAGGTGTTGGGAACACTTCAGACTAGTGCTCACTTCAAACCATGAGGCTCATGAGCAAGGCCGGTCCTAGGCACAGGTAAATGAGGCTTGTGCCTTAGGTCCAAAACCACAAAGAGCCTAGTTTGGCCCAATTTTTATTATTTTTTTAATTTTTTACTATTATTATTATTATTATTATTATTATTATTATTATTATTATTATTATTATTATTATTATTAAAAGAAGGAAAAAGAAAATAGTTTTTCGTTAATTGTAAGATGATTGAGATATTTGTTTGTTGTTTCAATAAGTTTTAAATTAACAATATGTTGCATAATATATCCTTAAATTTTGCATTTACGTTGATTTTGGGGGCCAAATTTGGACTTTGTCTCAGGCCCCTACAATCACAGGACCGGCCCTGCTCACGAGCCACCATTTGAATTGAGAGTGTGGGATATGACTAGAGCTCGTTCTCAACTTGAGTGCAGACTAGCCAAGCTCATTTCCTTGGGGCTAAGCGAGTTCAGGTGTTTATGAAGAAGGATTTTGTTTAAAAAAAAAAAAAATGAGAGTAGAAACCATGCAAGGCCTCTTCAATTAGCTTGAAATCAAAAGCATTTACAGTGATAATACAAAAAGCAATGGGAGAAATAATGATGCATCGAGAATAAGAAGTAAGTTGTGGAGTTGATCTGCATGTAATACTAGAAAATTTTAACAAAACTTTAACAAACTGATGAGAATTTAAATTTAGTTAGCAGTAGTTTATATTACTTAACATAGTTGATTGTACTTACAACTAACTTTAATATAACATGTGGATGAACGGTGGAAATTTGTGGACATAGTATTCCTACTTTGCAAAAAGATAGTTGTTCACATTCTTGGTCAAACTTCTTCCTCTTTTGGATGTGAGAGAAATTGGAGTGTCATTGAAAGTAATCACGCGAAAAAGAAATAGATTGTAGCATCAAAGACTCCATAATCTTGTATACGTTACTCAAATTTTGTGATTGAAGAATAGGTCTATAATATCATCTATTTACTAGGCCATCGGTTTATTTTTAATATCTCGTTTATTTGATAATGTTTTCTTTATCTAACTATTTCTTATTGACAATCTTAAACACTTGTATGAGAAGAGATCTTGTGATATAGATGATTATAAGTGAAATGACAAGCCAAACTTTTGGATAGACGAATATGCACTACCCTATGGCTTTGAGTATCAAGAATTAGACAATTATATTTTATAAAGAACTTGTAGTTCCCAAATTTAAAGATCATGAAAAATATACTAATGTTCGAGGTTCGTAAGCTTAACTATCTTAACTCAATGTTGATATTGTTATTATGAGTATATTGACAAGACAAACTTTTGGATAGGGAAGAAGCATTACTTTTGTTAATTGTATGTTTTGAGTAACTGATGCAATTTTTGAAATCTTAAAAAAAAAAAAAAAAAAAAAGCCTTGTTTATTATCGTTATTATTTTTTTGTAATTTAATTTTTTATTTTTAAAAATCATCTGGTGAATCGTTATTTGACCCTTTGACCCTCCTTTTTTTGGGGTAAGCTGAGTCAATTTTTAAAACATTTATATTTCCTACTACATCTATCAGAATTAATTTATACCTACTACTGAGTTAATCAAAGTTACTTTTCATTTGGTTGGATCGAAATTGAAGCTTGTCTGTAGGATCAACTTATTCATTAGTTGGTAATTGGGTTTGCCTACTTTGATTTTTTATTGGAAAATTTTCATTTCCAAGAGATTATGTATAATCCATTTCAAACCTAAGAAACAAGGTTTATTATTTCAAAAATTAGATATTAATCAAATTTTATTTATAAAAAATTAATTAAAAATACATTATATTAATTAAATATATTAAGGTCATAATATTATATAATTTATGGTCACAATTATGCATTAGTCACAATTTGGACATCACGATCACAAATCATACATTTTTTACGTCACAGTTTGTTTCTCAATCACAAATTTATCAAATTACTAGATTACATATTATTCCTTGTTACAAATCACAAATTTTATAAGTCACAAACTTATTTTATGATCACAAAATATCAAATTAATTATTCAAAAATTATCAAATCAAATATCAAACCTAAGAAAGAATTGGCAAGGAGTAAATTTTATAGCTTCAAATTAACCAAAATTTCCAAGTTTCCTCATCAAAATGCATAATTTTTTCATTTTTATTTTTTTGGATGTAGCTGGCAGAATAGAATTTCCAAATCCCTATAGCAGACTGTCTGTAAAAATAATCTCAAAGCTAAAAATACTGGTTCAGGACATTGTAATATCGACAAGCTTAAGTGACTTGTTTGATGATCAATAGCATTTCAGGCTTTCTTCTGCTTCTTGACTGGAGGAGGCGGAAATAGAAAACGGAAAACCCACGCAGCTAATATTGCTCCAATGAAGGGGCAGATCCAGTAGACGTAGAATTGCTCCCATGTTTTGTGCGTATTGTTTACATATGCCCAGCCAAAGGCCTGCAAAGATATTAGATATAGATTAAGATGTATGATAAGGAGCATATGATCCATTTATAGATAAAGAGCACGAAAATAAGCAGAAGGGATAGGAGAACAATAACAAGTGATAAAAACAACAATGTATGGAAACTTTCTGAAAATCAGCACATATGTTGCAAAGTTGAATGACTGATTAGCTCGTTTGTTATAGTGATATTAAATTCAAACTTATGAATGTATCGAAAACTAAGGGTCCGTTTGATTGTCAATATTTTCCATGAAAAATGTATTTTTTCACCCAAATTCCTACTTTTATACTGTTTGATTGACTTTTTTCCATGAAAAACATTTTCCTACTTTTGGTCATGTGACCATATTTTCCTCAAAATCAAGGAAAATGTTTTCTTTAGGTGTAGTAGGATTTTATTTTCCAACGGAATTTTCTCCTTTCACTTTCTTATTCATCCACTCTCTCATCTAACCACAAATAAAAATTGGACAAGTATAATATTTTTAAGGCTAAAAATTAAATCAATCAAACACATTTAATTGATAATTTTCATACAAATAAGTTCTAGGGCAATTAAATTACCTATAATTTATTTTCTTTCTATGCAAATTTCATACTTGCAATCAAACGCACCATAAAGGTAAAGTTAATTTAAAGAAAATCATATTTTAGAACTCTAGTTCAAGTTTTGGATTGCAGGAATTAATAGGTCATTTGCAAGCTTGCAATTAGGGAAAATGGCAAAGATTGAGTGGTTGAGAAGCTTGCTACTATGGCCCCGTTTGGCTCCCATTCTCCTTCTCCTTCTTCTTTTTTTTCTTATTTTCAACTACATAATCTTCCATAAAATAATATTACATGCAAATCAAAAACTTTTCATTCTTTTTCAACAACACATTTTTCAAAAAAAATTATTCCAACCATTAAAATTTGAAGGGATGGGGGCCAAACGGGGGCTTATTAAGAGTGATTGCAATATTAAGACATGACAGTGCAATGAATTGAGATCCTTAAAATTATGCGCGCGGCTAACAGATCCATCATAGATCAACTGTGAAACAGTGTTGTGGGCGGGCAATACAATAGTCGTGCTGCTAAACGAAGCAACACCATAGATGGTGAAGTACAAGAGCCGAAAACATTACTAGCTTACATTCCGACCTAAGTAGCAAGAAAGACGTGGAATCCCATATGTTCAGTCAGCATTGATGGACAATAATCTAATGGCATGTTTGCTAGAAAGAATTGTTAACATTGACCACTATTTAGGAATAAAAAGAAACTTAAATTTTGTTATTTAGCTTCCATCTATGTTTACACCAAGCATGCACTCGTTGTGCTTATAGATGTCAAAGATCAATCTATACCTGGCATCTTAATCAGAATTTTGATGCAGAGAGAAGCATGATTAGGAAAGAATATAATAAAATCTAACAAGGAATTTGAAAGATATAAATAAACAAAAATAATGGTGTGGATATTTCTGCTATTATGCTAAGCAAAGAAACACTCTAAAGTTTCTTATAACTTGATTGAAGGAAAATTCATTGCATGTAAGACAAGAATTTACCATAAATTGCCCATGATTTATCTAAAAAGGGAACGTAAAGAGAGATGGGACTTACATTTGCAGGATTCATGGAAGGTCCAGTATAACTCGAACCTGCAACCACTAAGGCAACAGTTGACATAGCTAGCAACCAATTCTTCACAAATGGGTTGGTAGGACCCCTCAGGACAATGTAAAGGACAGCAAAGGTAATTATGAAGGTCAATACTCCCTCAGCAATTGCTCCTGTATTCAAATCGACTTTCAAAGAAGGACAATCTAGCATGTGCTTGTATTGCACTGGCATAACCTCTAGAATCCCAAGTGCACCACCTACTGCACCAGCTGCCTGTCAAGGACACCACAAAATAATTTACGATTTTTACAAAAAGAGTCTATTGGTTTTTTCCATCCATTCATTCCACTCTTTCACAGCACGTTTAGCTCTTCTGGAACCTCATTGTTCTTCATGATCAGATTAGCATGAATCAAGTGTTCAACTGCCTGAACTTAAGCAATGCAAATTTTAAATATTGCAAATCTAAACTATATTTCAATGCCAGCAATCCTCTAATCTTTGTCATTTACAAAGTACAAGCGAGTCATACAATCAGAGGTGGCCCTAAGGGTGCGCAGGTGGGGCAACCGCACAAGGCCTCAACGTTGTAGGGGCACCAAAATATTTTTTGTTATATATAGTAATTTTAAAATTTAAAATTTTTATTATTATGTTAGTTAAAGGGCACAATATTTATGAAAAAAGGGGCCCATTTTGAAATTTCACACTGGACATCCAAGATCTCAGAGCCAGGCCCTGCATACAATCCAAGATGATCTACTAATCTTCGTCATGTACAGAAGAAAAACGAGTCATACAATTTCCAAGAATCATCTTGCAAGGATCAAAAGTCACTCGGCTTGATGTCAAGGATTTGGACTCAGTTACAATCATCATCTCACATTTCATGAATAGCCGGAACACTAAGGAATATCCAGAAAGGAATTGTACGAATTGGTCTGATTTTACACCTTTTCCTCCCCTTTTAAGAAAGGATCCCGAAAAATCGATCTTTTTGTAGTGGTTGAATCTCTCTTCAAAATCCACATTCTATGTCCCGTCACCAATGGAATCCAAATGATTCAGCATTGAATTATTGACGTATGGCCTACGGCTATGACAAAACGACTGAATTTTTTGCTTTCTAATACTTATAATCTTGCAAAGCAATAACATAGACCATTAAACGAAACATGAGAATCGTACAAGAAGAGGTCACCTGAGCAGGAAAGCGGACGGCGGCGCTGACAAGAGACTCAGTGCCTCCAACGCCGGCGGCATAAAAGGCGGCGGGACCTGTGGGATTGAAGGTGGCGCCTCCCAGCGCATCTCCAATAAATCCGAATACAAACAAAAGAACAAAAAGGAGAAAAGTGGTGATCAAAAGCGTAGGCAGGCCTTGGCTAACCCCAAAAGCAGAAGCCACAACGAAAGTGAGTGCACCCAACGACGATGCACAAAAAACCCACAAGCACGTCACTATCGCATCGGCGATTGCTACCTTAATTGCCCTCATAGTACAATCCAGCTACCAGAAACAGCAGACTTTCGGCCCCTTTATTTTTACGTAAAGAAACACCAAAAAAAAACCCGCTTAATTTATTATATGATTCACCTGTAATACTTCACACGAATCGTAAAAACTTAAGAAGCAAAATAATTCACGAAGAAAATTTCCTCTACTTTCAAATTTCAACCAGAACAAAATAGTTATATTTAAGCCCGTGGGATTCATGAAATGTTGATTTTGACTTATTTTGGAAAAATTCCAAACAGAGGGCAAAATAATATTTTTTTGAGATTACGAAATGATTATCAATTACAATTTGTCCTTTCGAAATTTGTGCTTATCCAGTCCCCTTTTTTAATTTTACAAGCAGTTTTGCAACTTTTGCTACACTGGCATACTTAAATTTTAATTGACATTATGTGACACAATTTTACCATTAATTTGTTCAACACTTAAAATAATGTATTCAAATGCCATCCAAGTTGAACACAAATAATGTAAAATTAACATAATTCTTTTTCAAGAATCTCTTACGATCATATTTTTGTTAAGATTTGTTCAAATTTTTATAAATTAGTAATATAGGTTGAAGTTATTGTATATACTTTATTTTATTAAAAGTAATGTTATTTATAATGAGGACTATTGTAGTTGTCACACATAAATCATATAGGACGACTACCGGTAGTCCTTAGTGCTATAAATAGTATTATACTTTTGTTAATTATTAGTCTTTGCATGTGGCACACTTTGATCGAGCAATGTACATGGTTTGTTAATAATTCGATCAATTTTTGGTAGAAACTAAAATTTATGAGATTCACATATTTTATTATATTCACATCTTTTTAATCACATGTTTAATCAACTTTTATTAAAATTTATAAAAATCTGATTTCAATCCCATGATTTAAATTAGAATTTTATAATGAACAGGATCAACTATATCATGTCTCAAGTTATATTTGGATGCAATAAACATTCATAAATATTCCTCGTAAAGCAATTCGAGGATGCAAAAAAAATAAAAAATCAAAGAATTAAAATTTAAAGCCCAAGAATCATTCATCACAATTTTGGTGTAATAAAGGACCATATTGTCTTGTTTACACATTTCCCTTTTTTTTTTTTTTTTTTTTTTTTAATAAAATTTTTAA